AGGAGAGGCAGAGAGGATCCTAACAGTGCCTTTTGTTTGTATAAGACTTTAGTCGTCAGTCACATCCATTCATGCCTCTGGTTGGCACAACCTTCCTACCAGACTGGACGGATGAGGAAACTGACTCAGAGGTTGTCTCTAGCCTAAGGCTGCTTGACTAGTGGTTAATGGAGCTGGGAGCAGCATAGGGTGTCTTACTGCTCCTGCCCAGTCCAGTCTACATCAGAGGTCTCAAACTTGAAGTCAGCCAGCAGAAAAACTCCCAAGTATGTCCTGAACCAGATTCAAATGGAATTAGGAAATGTTTAACAAAATAAAAATACAACATAGATAATGTTAATTTGTGTTTTTCTAAGTCCATATGCTGCTGACTGGGACCCATTTGATACCACTGCTCTGAGCTCTGCCCACAGCCTCTCCCCTCCTGCCCCCAGTGCGCCCTTTTGACAAAGGGGATCCTAGTGTGTCTACTAGCCAAGAGGCAGCCGGGTACCCTCTACTGAGAGGAGTCCATTGGGTGTAGGGTGTTAGTGAGGAGGCCAGATGTGCTGTCTCTGAGCTAGCTGGGCAGCAGCTTAGGAGAGGTTGGGAAGGGCAGAAAGGCTCAGTGGAAGAAGTGAGGTGAGGTGCAGTATTTCTCACACCCGTCCTCCCAGGCGAGCCGTCGCCCCTGAAGCCAACGATATTCCGAATGGACTTTCTTGGCTCGTGCACTTCTGGTCTCTGCTGATGTTGGCTAGCTTTTCTGTCAGCATCAGGGGGATCAGCAGTTTGTCCTGATCACCTAGCTTTTCTGCTTTCAGATTGGAGCTGGAGGGAGCATCACAGGGATGAAATTTAACCCTCTTAATACCAGCCAGCTGTTCATTTCCTCAGTGGCGGGGACCACCAGCCTGAAGGACTTTCTGGGCAATACTATCAGAGTCTTCACCAGCACAAACACCTGGGAGTAAGCAGCCAAACTGTGAAGGCAGAGGGGCTTCCAGGATCCAAAGAGATCCCCTTTCCCATCTTCCAGGGTATAGAGAAAGCTCGTCCCAGTGTGAGGGGCTCCTTCAGGCACCAAGACTGTGTGACTAGTCTTTACTTGGGAGGTTAAGTTGTTCTAAAGGAGCGGCTGGAGATTGGCTTCTCTCCTCCCTGGAGACATCCCTCAGTGCAGTGGGAGCTCAAGACTTGGGGAGGAAGCCAGCTGTTCTGCCTGACTCGAGAAACAGTGGGCAGGGGCTAGAGCTGGAGGCTTGAGTCCTAGGCCCATCATGGGTTCTTCTTTCATAGTCCATCCAGAGGAGGGTCATGTGCATAGAGCACTTTAGTCTGCCCGGGGGCAAGAAGCTTGACACATGCCTGTGTGTAGTGTGTGTGCACGGTGGGGTGAGGGTTCTCGGGTTCTTGACTCCCACATCCTGAATTACTGCTCTGCTGGGGTGAGCAGGTCAGGGCTGAGGCCAGAGGGCTGCAGCCCCAGTGTCTCAGGTTCCCTATCTGTGGCAAAGTGGGAGCGGTGATGAGTGGGGCCTAGCCCTCAAGGTTTGAGTTTCTGGTGGGCAGCAACATCTTCCCTTTCCTTTCCTGCCCCTGGCCAAGTATTTGGAGGAGCCAAGGGGCAGGTTGGGGCTTCCAAGGCCTTTGTCTTCTTGTCCTGTCAGGGCTCTGAGAGGACTCGTACCTGAGCCCCTGAGAGCCTCGAGTTGGAGGCTCCTGCTCTTGGCTTTCCTTCTGCCACGGAGGTGGGGAGGGTGCTAACTTATACCAGGGAGCCACCCTGCAGCCCCATTTAGGGAGCTGCCTCCAGGCCTCACTCTGACCGCAGGCAGCAGTAGTGCAGTGGTATCACATGCATAGTCCTGGCCAATCTGCCGGGTCCCAGGGATCTTGATCTTGCAATGCTCGGGGCTTTGTGTTTCTGACTTCAAACACATGTGGAAGAAACCTGATCCTCTTTCTCCCTCCAGCTACTGGTACACCAGTGTGGATGTATCTGCCAGAAGCCGTGTAGTGGTCACAGGAGATAGTGTGGGCAATGTGATCTTGCTGAACATGGATGGCAAAGAGGTTTGTTCCCTAGAACTCAGAACCCCAGCCCCACTCTTTTTCATCCTTATGGCTCTCTACCTGAGCTGAGCCCTTCTTCTCTGCAGATCTGGAATCTGAGGCTTCACAAAAAGAAGGTGACCCATGTAGCTCTGAATCCTCTCTGTGACTGGTTGCTGGCCACAGCCTCAGTGGACCAAACAGTGAAAATCTGGGACCTGCGCCAGGTCAGAGGGAAATCTTCCTTCGTCCACTGGATGCCTCATGAGCGTGCCGTCAATGCAGGTGTGAGGAGAGGGAGGGAGCTGGGACCCCACTCCCATTCTGCAAGGATGGTAGCCATTCTTAGGGCTCTTGCATCAGGCCCTTAAATTAAATGGCATGAGATAAGCCTGCATTCTGGGAGCTTTCCAGCCGCTCCAGTTAGCTCTTGGGAAGTTTCCAGAGGGCCTCTTAACGATTTCTACACTGGTACTGCGACTGGCTCTTGGGAAGAGGGTGGAGGGGAGAGAGAGCCAGTCTGGGGATGCACAAGCCCAGCACTGTGGGCGCTCTCTGAAGACACAGGCTTCTCGTACACTTGTCCAGCTTATTTCAGTCCAGATGGGGGCCAAACTCCTGACCACAGACCAGCATAGCGAGATCCGGGTGTACTCCGCCTCCCATTGGGCATGTCCTCAGCATCTCATTCCCCACCCTCATCGCCACTTCCAGCACCTTACGCCCATCAAGGTGAGTGGCGGGAAGTGTTTGGCCTAGGAGACAATCCAGGGCCAAGGATCTGGTCAGATCTGCCATTTGACAACCAAAAAAATATCATCCTTCTGGAACTTTCTCCTTGGGCAGCTACGTCTTGATTTCCATGATCCTGTACTTTATTTTCTTCTGGCTGACTACTCTTACCTTCTCAAATGTGGGTGGCTTTTAGGATTGTCTCAAAGAGTTCCCTCATCTGGTTTCATTTATTGCTTAAGTACTCTATGCAGAGGATTCTGCTCTCTCCAGTCCCATCTTCTCTGTAGACGGCTCTTCTTAGCAATCTTGCACCATCTCAAAAGAAGCTCTTCGTCTCCTGTGCACAGTTGCTTAGCTCAGCACCTCTCCTGGTCCCCAGGCTCCCAGTGAGAGAGTTCTGAGTAACCCCTCTTGGCCCTCGACTGATCCTTGTCAGATTTTTCTCTGAAATATGAGTTTGGCCCTTTGCTTGCCATGTCTGCAGCCCTAGGCCAGGCCCTCAGGACTTTGGGTTGGCATTTCTTCAGACCACTAAGAGCAATTTTTGGATCATCCTCCTCTCTTTCCCTCAAGCCTGTGGGGGCTCTTGGTCGATTCAGGTCAAGTCTAAGCTTCCTTGGATGTCTCCTTGGATACATTTGACCAGATAGCTCCTTTCTTGATCTGCTTCATCTCAGCTTGTGCTGGCCACTCCAGCAGGCACATCTGCCAGAAATGGGCATTTGCTTCTAGCATTATGCATACCATTTCTCCTTTCTCTGCTAAATTCTTTCCTCCTTCAAATTTATGATTTATGAAGTCTTCCTGTTTTAACTATACCTAGTCCCTGCTCTTCCAGCCACTCTTAGACTTTATGTTTCCATATACTTAGTATACAAGACTTTGCTCGTACAGGGATTCTAGATTCAGTCTAATTATAGATTCGGCACTGTCTTAACTGATCCAAAACATTTCCCTTTACTACAGGTTTACTGGCCGTGCTCTCCCCTCTCCCCACCCTCCCTTTCCCAAGTGGTTTGGCCAAAACTAATTTGTGTATGCTTACAACACACCAACTCATAGCAGAGGGAGATGGCCAGGCCCAAAATGGTCCAGGCAGTTGGTGAAAATCAGCTTTGGGTAATTCACCATGTACATGACTCACTCTGCTCTGCCTCTCTTGTTCGCCTTCCCAGGCATGTCTGTCTGTCTTATCTCCATCAAATGGCCCTGACTGCCATGCCTGTTGAGGCTCCAGGGTTTTGTGCCCTCTGATCACCACCCTGTCCTCCTCTCCCAGGCAACATGGCACCCTCGTTACGACCTCATCGTGGTGGGTCGATATCCAGACCCCAATTTTGCAGGTTTCACCCCTCATGAGCTTCGGACGATTGATCTATTTGATGGGAGTTCGGGGAAGATGATGTGTCAGCTTTATGATCCAGACTGCTCTGGCATCATCTCGGTGAGGCCTGGGTTGGTGGGGGTGGAGATTGGAGACTGACTGTTCAGGGGCCAATGTGGTGCCCTGCTTGGACCAGAAGGCCCCTGGGCACCCTTCTCTTCCATCACACTCACTTGTTCTTGTCATCTTTGCAGCTTAACAAGTTTAATCCCATGGGGGACACGTTGGCCTCTGCAATGGGTGAGTACACAAAGGGTCCCCTGCCCCAGCTGACCTGAACTCTCTCACTGGGGCAGCCCAGAAGTAGTGACCAGATGCGTCAGTCAGTCTTTGTAACCAGCCTCGTCTGGCTTCAGGAGACCTGTGCTCGGGGGGCCAGTCCCAAAGTGCCTGGAGAGGCTGAGAACAGTGAGGTCTTTCTCCCTGTTCTAGGTTACAACATTCTCATCTGGAGCCCAGGGGAGGCTGTGAGAAGGAAGCAGGAGGGGCTGATCAAGGTGATGAGTGAACAAGGACTAGGGAGGGGCAGGTCAGCCCACCAGCCCTCCCCTCGAAACAGACCAGGCCAGAATTAGCAAACAGCAGCAGAAGGGTGTGTGCCTAGAAGGGTATGCAAGAACTCAGCCCAAAGGGCAGGCTTTAGGAGCCCACCTGGGCCAAGGCCCTTTCCTCTGGAAGGCCGGGGGATAGCAGTTACTCCTAATGCCTCTCCAGGCTGGCAGTTTAATTTGGGTTGTCCTCACTTTTAACAGTCAATAAAGTTATATCCACTTGGGAAGCTCTTTAGCCACAGCCTGGTGAAAGAAAAAGCCATTTTCCTCCCCACAAAGACACAAGAAACAATGTGGAGAGTTCAACACTTTCATTCCCCTTGGGGTCCACCTTTGTCCCTTCTGGGCTACTGCCCAGAGCTGTCCAGCACGCGACCTGCATTTGCCTAGGGCTTCTGTATCTTCTGTGCCCTGTATGTGCCTGTACCCTCCTCCCCCCTCCCCCATCCCTTTATATACATTCTTCAAGCCAGCTTAGGATTCAGAGGAGTGGAAACAGCAGCAACTATAACCCTGAGGCTTCCAACCTCAATGAACTGGGGCTGTGACCTCTGCCTCGAGGGTGGGAAGAGAGTCCTGGCTAAATTAGGCTTGGGGGTAGTGGAGAGATAAGACAGAATGTCCTGTGAGCCTGCCAGTGTTTCCAGGCTGTTGCAGAAAGTAACGCCCACAACTCCTTTGGACTGGCCAGAGGACTCCCTTCCGCTAGGTAGTTGCCCAGCATGAAATGCACTGGTGCTGCTCTGTCCTCCCCAGGGCTGGGAGGGAGAAGATGACAAGGCCTCACACAGCTGCCTGGAAATGCCAGGTGAGGAAGGTCCTGGGGGTCAGAGCAGTGCCCAGCTCAGAGTCTTAGGTCTCTGTATCAAACTGGCTTTCCAGCTTCCCTAGCCAGGGCACAATCAGGGCAGCCCAGCTCCTCCACGACGCCGTAGAGAGGGGCCGAGGGCTTGTCAGGCATGGTCTTCCCCATCAGCGATATGGCGGTAACCTGGGGGCTGAGCCTGCATTCGGAAGAGGACTGTGAGCAGTAGCAAGATGAGCAAGAAGAGGATGGAACCACACACGGCTAAGGCCACGATCACCTCTGAGAAAAGGAAGAGAAGTGACATCTTCAGGGTGACAAGGCCCACGACACCCAGGCAGCAGAACGGTCCCAGGCTCACCTGTGTCTGCAAGGCTGCTTGTCACCTGGCATTCTTGCTCCCAGTTCTCTGGCACCAGGGGCAGAGTGAGGCGTAAGAAGTCTGCGAGGGGGCAGCTCTGGGAGCAGCGGAGCAGGGCCAGGGGCCAGGGAGCCTTGGTACTGTCGTTTCGGAAGTACATCTCCACAGAAAAATTCCTGAGGGCAGCAGGAAAGCCACATCTCTAGACTAAGCCTGCAAGCTGCCCGCCCCCCCTCGGGGATTCACCAAGAAGCCAGGCCAACTCACCCATTGTCCTCCTGGTAAAGTTCAAACATGTGGCAGGAGGCATAGGGAGCCTGTTCCCCATTGTAGATGTCCAGGGCCATCTGAAGTGCCACCAGTGTGGTGTCATGCTGTAAGAAGAAGGCTGCTTCATCCTTGCTGGCCCTTACTCTCGCCCCCTGGCAGGGAGGGCCTTCCTGGTACCCCTGCAAATAGCCTAGGAATAGAGGGTCTAGGAAAGTGGGGATTGACTATGGCTGACTGGGGGTGGGAAAGCATGAGAGAAAGAGTCGGCTTACTGCAGAGTAGACTAGCAGCTTTGGGTGCTGGGAGGCTGAGGCTGCCCATGTCAGGTTCTTCCGGATCTCAGCTAGGAGGACCCCTGAAGGAACACAAGGAGATGCTGAGTGGCTGGCAGTGGCCATCAGGGCAGCCTCGGTCCTCCCCCACTAGAAAAGCTCATCATCTTGGCCGATGACAAGGGTGAGCCCAGCTGCCAGTTTTACCAGATTATAACTAGAGTTTCAAAGAAGGCTGGTTTTTTTGTTGGTTTTTTTTTTAGGCAGTTGGGGTTAAGTGACTTGTCCAGAGTCACACAGCTAGTAAGTGTCAAGTCTTTGGTCTGAGCTGGATTTGAACTCGGGTCCTCCTGACTTCAGGGCCAGTGCTCTATCCACTGTGCCACCTAGCTGCCCCATCAAAGAAAGTACTGAAAGAATTAGAAGCACGGTCTCTGCCTTCAGATAGCTTATGATCTCAAGAGGCAAAATGGGCTTCAGTGCAACAGCCCCCCCCCCAACGACGTAGGGCTTTAGTTGGATGGGTCTGTGAGAAGGTAGCCCTCAGGAGGTGACTCAGATGCCTCTGACAGGCATCTGAACCAAGGCCCACAGCCACAGGCCTGTCTGTTCCTGCACCTGTGTCGAGGTAGGTCTTGCCATAGTTGTCTGGGGTAATCTAAGGCTCTCTGTGGGCATGCTGGATCTGGAGTCAGAAAGACTCATCTTATAAGACATTAGCTGTGTGCCCCTGGGCAAGTCACTTCACCCTGTTTGCCTCAGTTTCCTCATCTGTAAAATGAGCTGGAGAAAACAATGACAAACCACTCCAGTATATCTGCCCAGAAAACCCCACATGGGGTCATGAAAAGTTGAAACATGACTTAAAATAACTGAACAACGATCAAAAACAGGCTGTCAGGTCATGAACTGCTTTGTTCATGTTATGGGCCTGTTTGCAGAGGGGCAAAAATGAATACAACTAACTAGCTCTTCAGAGGTGGGCAGACGGATGGGAAAGATGAACAGCTGGCCTAGGCCTTGTGAAGATGGGACTCAGATGTGGCTCTGACAGAACGGAAGCCTGTGTGTCTACAACAGAGCTGGATGGTGGTGGGTGGGAGTCTGCTACAGAAGATTGAGACACCAGGGCAGCTTTGGAGGGTGCCACTCACCTCCTTGAAGCCGGGCCTTCTCTGTTGGCTGGTACATCCCAAAAAGGAACCGGAAGCTGAGATCCTTGAGCTGCTGAAGGTGCCGCATGGTCTGGGGGGAGGCCCAGGACGGTAAGGGCAGACCGTGGGTTTGCTGTGGAGCATAGGGGCAGGTTAGTGCAAGATGGGCTAGAGGGAGCTCGGATCCTAGTGCCTGTGTGTGTGTGTGTGTGTGTGTGTGTGTGCGCGCACTCACGTGAGAAGGAAAAAAAAAATGAGGCACAGGGACAGGGTGCCAGCCAGCATGTCTAGGGATCAGGCCATGGAGCAGACAAGGAGAGGAAGCGTCCATACAGACAGTGTGACTCAGCAAAATGGAGTCATGAAGGAACTGCTGATGGTTAGAAAACCATTTCCCCTTCTGAGGTTCTCCTTCAGCCCTGGGAGGGGAAGTTGTGTCTGCTCCCAAAAGATGCCTCAATAGGTGGTGGGAGGCCACTCCCCTTGCCCTAGGACCTGTGCTTAATGGCTCAGGTCCCTGAAGGAGGAAGCAGGTTGAGGTCTGTGGGTCTGCATACCTCACAGAAGAGAGTGTCATAGATGTTCCAGGCCGTCTCCAGTGTCAGGTCTGTGACCCCTGTCTCGTTGGCCACCATCTCCAGAAATTTCTGTGAAGGTAAACCGGAGGTGGTCACGGTCCCCGTTTCCTGTGGGTTGATGGCATCATGACCTTCCACTGCTCCCTTCACCCCTACTTACAGCATTCTGAGCTGTCTCATTTTGGTATTCGGGGCTCTGGCGAGTCTCATTCTGTAGCTGCTCAAACCGAGGACAAGGGCCCAGTGGGAACTTCAGCAGCTGTGGCCAGAGAGGAGCAAGGCAAGGATCAGTGACTGGTGAAATGGAGAGTAGGGAGTGTCCCATGCGCAAAGGGTCAGTCAGCCTCACCTTGTCCTGGGCCTCAGGGACAGTATGGACAGGGATAGGCTGCCACGTGATGTTTGGATTAAAAGACTGCGCCCCCTCAACCGGGAAGAGTCCAGCCAGGTTGGCCTCAGCACTCATAAGGGTGCGGTCAAAGTCTGTGCTTCGAATGTAAACCTACCAAGGAGAGCAGTGAGCAAACCTCCATTGGGGTGGCTGGGAAAGCCCTTTGGCCCATGGGACAGCAGGCCTCCTAGCAGCTGTAGGCACTCAGAGGGCCTTGGGCTTCTGTGATGAAGAGCGAGACAGCAAAGACGAGCTTGGGAGAGCAGAACAACACGAGAGAACCTGGGGCAGAAGCTGTCTTAAGGGTATGGTCCCTCAGAACAGCTGTACTCACGCTAAATACAAGTCACAACTCAGTTTCCTGAGGGCTGTGGTTTACCTAGCCCTCAGCTCACAACCACCAGCTGTGGCCAGGGAGGGAGAGGGAATCCCCTAGGGCACCCAAGAGCAGAGGTTGTGACCCTGATCAACCTTCCCAGTGCAGAGATCTTTCTCGGAGGAGGATGAGGTGCCTGGAAGCTTTGCTCCCTAGTTTGGGGCTGGGGTGTATGTGCAGGACAGAAGCAAGTAGTGAGCCTAGAGTGCTCTCTTGTCCACTCCCTCCGATGATGCCAAGCATAGAAAGGCAGGATCCCTACTCCCAGTCTGGATTCCCTAGACTCACCTCTTCCCGGTGATAGGAGGCATTGAGGAAGCCCTGGTAGCGCTGCCGTAAAGCCTGGCCCAGCTCCCAGTGCTGGAGCATCCCCTCCTGCAGGGCAGACCCAAGAGCTGGTAAAGGCCAGGTACCTTAGACTCTGCCGGTGTCTAATTCTGCCCAAGGAAGGACTGATGATGAATGGATCAGCATTCCATCCAGCCATATAGGATCAGGCAGGTATGGAATACAGCAAGATCAAGCAAACTGGATAAGGATGCTTTTGCCTGTGTGTGTATGTATACTTCCTACAACTACAGCCATCTGGAAGCTGATTGAGAAGATGGGTAACGGATCCTAAAGTTCTGCTCTAGAAGCAGCTGTCCCTAGGACAAGGGTTTTTAACCTTTTTTGTGTGTCAAGGACATGGCCTTGGCAGCCTGGTGAAACCTACAGACCCTTTTTCAGAATGTTTCTGAATGCATAATACAAAAATACACAGGATTACAAGGAAACCAATTACATTGAAGTAGTTATCAAAACATTAATAAATTCTAAGGATCTGTGCCCCAGAGTCAAATGTTTGTGAGGAGAGAATCCTATCTGAGAGCACCAGCACAAACCTTGGTTAGCTGGCCAAAGCCTTGAGGCCATTCTCCCTCCTGATAGGGGTCCTTAGGATAGGCCTTAACAGGGGAACGATCTCCATGTCGATAGAGCTGAGGAAGGAAACACTGGCTCATCTATAGGTTTCTGATGAGAAATACACTAATAGCCCCTTTCTCCCTCCACCTCAGTTTACCCAAACCCTAACCACACCCTCTTCAGGAAGCCCAACACCATTCACCCCAAGTCAAAATCCTGACCTAGTTTTAAACCTAATGGTCTCCATCACTAAGTGTCCACTGGAGTGGGGGAGGGGAGGTGCAAAAAGGGGAAGATAGGATGACAAAAAGAAAAGGTCAGTGTTGTGGGTAGGACCGACACGAGTTGCTTCAGGTAGGCTTATATTGCCCTAACTTCAAAGTAGAGACACGTCCAAAACCTCCCCCATTTCAAAACAGTCTCTTCCCGTCTTCCAATATTGAGCCTTCTTCCTGATCCAGAGACCCCACGCCCCAAAGCAGAACCATCCTTCTTACCCAGGGATCTGTCCAGAATGCAGAAACCTTCCCCTGACCCAGTGACAACATACACCCCCCAATCCCCCCCGCAGTCTCCAATCCAGATTCTTCCCCCCTCCCCCTGACCAAGACACCCCGGACTCGGACTCAAAGATCCCTAGCCTAGGAGCCCCTCCCTTTGAACCAGACACCCTCCCCCAATTCCTAGAAGTCTCCCCCATTCAGAGACCCCTCCCGCCCAGAGCCTGACACCCCCCAGCTCCCCCCCAATTCCCCCCGCAGTCTCCAATCCAGATTCTTCCCCCTCCCCAAGACACCCAGACTCGGACTCAAAGATCCCTAGCCTAGGAGCCCCTCCCTTTGAACCAGACACCTCCCCCAATTCCTAGAAGCCTCTCCCATTCAGAGACCCCTCCCGCCCAGAGCCTGACACCCCCCCAGCTCCCGCCCCTTGACCCTACGTAGACCCCGTCTCTCTTCGCCCCCCATCTTCAGCACCAAAATCACGAAGCGGAGGCTCCGGCCCTGCGCGGGCGGCACCGCCGGCAGCAGCAGGAGGCCCAGGCCCAAGCCCAGGCTCCTGCCCACGAGCAGCGGCAGCGGAGCTCCCCAGCAGCAGCAGCGGCGGCTGCCGGACCGTCCACCCGCCATCGCCGCCGCCGCGTACAGAGAGACCTGCGAGCCCGGAACCCTATCCGTTTCAGCACCGGAGCCGCCCGGACGCGCGTGCCGATGCTCCCACAGGAAGCGCCCACGCCGCCATCTTTCTTAAGGGAGCAGGAAGCCACGCACGGGAGAAGGATGGAGGGAAATTGGCTGTTAGGCCGAGAGCCTATGGGGGCAGGGCGGGGCGGAGGAGCGTGGGAAAGGGCGCGAGGCCTCAGGCGCCAGGCCGCCGCGGGCCCCAGGAACCCACCCAGGAGGAGGGGAAGAAGCAGCGCCCCTGGCCACTGGTCAGGCGGAAGGAGCGTGGGCGTGCCTGGGAGGCCAGATTCCGGGTTCGAATCCTGCTCTGTGACCTTGGGCGAATCGCTTCACTTCCCTGGGCCTCTGAAATAAGGTGGGGCGAGGGCCGGGCCTTCTTCAGTCTCTCGTTCTTTGATCCTTTCGGACTTCGTTCGAGGCGGCTCACAGTTGGGTCTTTATGCTGCTTCCTGCTCTGAGTGAGTCAGCTCGGCAAAAGTCCGGAGTGTGGAGCAGTGGATCTAGCAGCTAGCCACGTGGTGGGGTGGGTATCCGGGCCGGATTTGGAGCCCGGAAGACCTGAATTAAAATCCACCCTCCCTTAGCAGCTGTCGGCTCTGCACCGAGCTCAGTTTCTCAGTGCCTCTATGTCATTTGTTTTTCTTTTCTTATTGGTGAGACAATTGGGCTTAAGTGACTTGCCCAGGGTCACACAGCTAGTAAGTGTCAAGTCTGAGGCCGAATTTGAATTCGGGTCCTCCTGATTCCAAGGCCAGAGCTCTATCCATTTTGCCACCCCGATGCCCCCTGTCATTTGTAAAATAAGGATCAGTGGCCAGTACCTCACTGGGTTGTTGTGAAGATTGAAAGAGATACTATTTGCAAAGGACTTTGAAAACCTTAAAGGTCTCTGTTATTATTTATCCCCAGAAGAACATAAGCATCTTGAGAGCAAGTGCAGTTTTCTTTATATGTTTGCATCTCCCAGGCCCGCTACCTGTGTCTGCCTCCTAGTGAGCACTTCAATGCTTACTGAATTTCACTGGTCCTTCCTTAGTACCTTGGTATCAAGGTGCAGCATAAAGTAGGAGCTCAATAAATGGCTGTTGACAGACTTGTAAGCTATACTGCACTTTTTGGTACTTTTCCAGGGTTCTGGGAAGGAGGAAGCATCAATAGTCCAAACCTCTGAAGCTTCCTCCTTGCTTATGCTTGTGGTCATACTCTGGGAAACTGTCCAGCCTTGCTTGTGACTGCAAGCAGATGATTTCTCAGAATCTCTTCATTGCGCATGGGGACTCCGTCTTCCAGTGGTTAGTGACTCCTGAGTGGTTAGTGCATCGAGGTGATCCACTGGGCCTCAAACAGGATTGACTACCCCAAGAGCATGGCGAGATAACCAGCTAAGCATAGCCTTCCCAAGGGCCTTCAAGGATGAAAACAGAAAAAGGAATATAAACAGAAGAAAAGGGGCAAAGAATTTCAAAAATTACTACAAGAGCCTTTTCTCCTTCAATGACAGTGGAATCCATCACACTTGGATTCTAATATTATAGTCCCTGATTTGTTTCTTTGGCAGCAGTAGGTATCTGGGGAAGGACCCTAAATGAATGTTCCAGGTCTACGAAGAGAGGCAGGGTGGTAGAATTAATTGAGGACTGAACTGGTCCAAAGTCCTGCCTCTGACACTTTGTAGCTTGAGACCCTAGGCAAATCACAGAGAACCTTTTGGAGCCTCAGTTGCCTCATTTGCAAAATAAGCATTATAACTGTCTCCCAGGGTTGTTAGGAGGTTCAGATTTTATGTTGGGAAATTTCTGAACCTTGAAGGACTCAGAAAGTTTAGTTTGTGTTGAAGAGAAAACGCACCTCCCAAGGTGTAAGTTGAGGGGAATGTGCCACAGGGCCAGGGCTAGCAAGCCGGGACTTGTGGCTCCGGCTGTGGCTCACATTACTTACTAGTCAGGTCCACCTCCTGGGAGGAATCAAAGTGCCAGAGCTTGGTCCTGCTGAGGCATTGCCTAGGGGTGCTGCCTTTCACCCAGCAGCTAGGCCCAGTGGAAGGAGCTCCATCTTGGAGCTCCATCTCAGCTCTTCTACTTATTAGCTATAGACAAGTCACTTTGCCTTGTCACCTGTAAAATAGGGGGTGGGGGAGGATGTGGACTAGATGATTTCTGAAGTCCCTTCCACCTTTAACTCTATCCCTACTACAGCTCTGGGCAGTTTGTGAATTCTAGAGGAAGAGAGATTTTTGTCCAGGGATGTTTGCCCAACAGAGCTGGTTCTGGTCTCAGTCCTGGGGTGGAAGCTGTTTTAGGGTTTACCCAATGGGAGAACGTTGGGGATATTCACTAGCAGTGTAGACAAGATGAAGCCAACTGAGTTGGGGGCCCAGACTGGCCAAAGGAAGGTGTTTGATGATGTTTGAAACCTTTAGCTCAAGGGTTTAGCTCAACCTGGAGTCCATGAACTCTTTTTTTTTCCAATTGTTTTGATACCTGTATTTTGATATAATTAGTTTCTTCTGTAATCCTATGTACTTTATTTTACACTTTTAAAAAGGTTTCACTTAAACTGCCAAAGGCCTCCGTGGCACAAACCAGGGTAAGATCCCCCACAAATCTAGCAGAAAGTCCTTGCTAGAATCGTAAGCCAAAATGAAAATTCCAACTCCCAGTGCAGAGAAAGGAAGAAAAAGAGAAGAAGCTAGGAGAATGTAGCCCCACCCTCTCAAATATTAACTCATTGAGAGCAGGGACTGATTCATTTTTGTCTTTGTTCCCCCAGAACCCAGACCAGTTTGTGGCACGTGGGCAGTGCTTTAAAAAAATCTTCATTGACTTGACCCCAAGAAGAAAGATGAGAAGGTGCCTTCCCCTCTTCTTAAGCGGATGGGAGATCATACCTGTGAACCACCGTATAGAAAGTTAGGCCTTTTGGATAAGTAGGTCAGTATCCCTAAACTACCCCACCCTCTCTCTTATTCTTTGTTATGGAGGACAGCCCTCTGAAAGAGGGAGGGGGAGGGATGCCTTGGGAGATAGATGAATGAGATGAAAACCCAAAGATATTGATGACGTTTTGTTGGTTTTAAAAGGTCTGTTGAATTGGACTGGACCAGCTCTTGGCATTTTGTGGAGAATCCAAGAAAGCTTGGGGCCAGGAGAGGGGGGGGGTGGCCGCAGGGTGAGCACAGAGTGTATCTCAGAGTCTGAAGCTCTGGGATTCTTTCTCTTCTAGAACTGCTAGGGTGTGGTGGGAGCAGGGAATCAGAACCAGTAAGACTGGGAAGTTTGGGCTGATGATTCAGGGGGGCAGGAGGCTGGGGTATCCCCTACAAATAGGAGCCCTGGTCACAAGGCTGGACGGAAGACTTCGGGCAGGACCTTGGGGAGGGGAGGGGGTCACAAGGGCTTTTGGTCATGTGAAAACTCCTCTGGGGGCCAATTTGGTCACACCAGCCTGCCTCTCTCTGGGCTGTCTCTCCTCCCTCTGTTCTCATCACCATCCCCGCCCTCTGTCTTCCTCCCAATTTACCTCCTCCCTTCCCTTTCTGTTTCTCCTTAGGTCTCATTTGCCCTCTCTTTCTTCCTAAACCGCCCACCCCCTTCAGATCTCCCCTTCACTCCCTCAGAATTTTGCCTCTTCCTGGCACCCTCTTCTTTCTGTCCTCTGCCCCAGTGTCCAGTCCCCCTGCCCGATCATGTTAAATTGTGGGACCCATGGGAACTGAATTCACAGCAAAACAGGAAGAAGGCAGTAACAGAGGGGTGGAGGCAGGGGTGAATGGCCACAAGTAACCTCCTGATTCTCTCTCCCACAGCTGTCCTGGAGCATCCTGCTTGGCTCTCAGCCCCTCCTGCTGCTCTTCCACCAGCCTGTTCGCACTGGCAGCCCCATGGGTCTGGGTTCAAATCCTGCCTGCCGATGTGTGAGCCAGCTCCCAGCCTCAGGCACATGATCTGTGAAAAGAGGGAGCTGGCATACACACATGTGCCAACTATATAGAAATGCACATGTATGTATAAAATACATATCTGTATATACGCACATGTATATACCCATGCACACATACCAACTATATGAATACACATGTGTGTATACATGCATATCTGTGTATACAGGTGCATACACACATGTGGCGGCTATATAGAAATGCGCACACATGTATAAAATGCCTACCTGTATATATACATGCACCCATGCATATACCCACGCAACATGCCAACTATATAAGTACACATGTATGAATGTATATGTGTGTGTATACAGGTGTGTACACACAGGTGCCAACTATATAGAAATGTACATGTATGTATAAAATACACGTGTACATATGTATCCATGCATGCATGCCAACTATACAAATACAAATGTTTGTATATATCCATTAGGTATAGGCCCCAGGTATAGTCTCAGGTAGCTGAAGGAGCTTTCTCTCCAGGAGTACTCACAAATCAGTGAAATCATAAGTCTGGACCCAAATCCAAACCAAGTGAAAGGCCCTACCCAAATTTTAGGCCATTGTGGTTCCCGTTCTCTCTGGAGCTCCAGAGTGGGCCCCAGATGCTAGAATGGAGCCTTACAGAGCTGCCTAGCTGGGGCGGGCTGGAGGTGGGAGAACCTTCAGCCTTGAAGGGACTGAGAATCTTAGGAGGAAGGAGCTGGAGAGGACCAAGGCTCAATCTGTCCACAAGTGTTAAGTGATTAGCGGCCCCCACGTGCCAGGCACTGGGCTAAGCCCTGGCATGCAAAGACAAAAGGGAAATATGCCGGCCCTCAAGAAGATTACATTCTAACTTAGAGATGACAGGATGGAACCCTCTCATTTTACAGATGAGGAAACCGAGGGGGCAGAAGTGGCTTGTACAGAAGTCTTGATTTTCCATCCAAAGCCATTTCCACCCGACTTCATCCATATTCATTCTCTCAACAATGGTGAATGACAAGGCATGAGGCCACTGCCTTAGGTGTGCCTCAGGTATCCTGGTTCAAGACTGAATGTCTGCTTTGGGGGTGGTGCAGAGGGGCTTTCCCCAGGAGTTCTGTAAGCAGAAGCGCTCCTGGGTCACCTTTAGCCCAAATCCGTGGGCAACTAGAGAGCAGTCCCTTCGTTCTTATCCTGCCCAGCCAGACAATTCAATTCAGTAATTTCATGGGAACTTCCAAGCGTTAGGATACCTTCCACCAAGTAGGGAGTTGCTGGAGGGACATGAAAATTAGGTGACCCATCCACACTGCTAGTGTCAGAGCAGTCCAGCCCTGTGTCCCTAACCCTGAGGCCACCCCACAGGCCAAAGGTGAGAAGGTAAGCCAGGGAGAATTTGCTTATATTCTAATATGGGCAGTAGAAACCGAGCCCATAAGTAAATATACATAACAATTAGGGGAACTGGGAAAGGCTTCTTAGGGGAAGTGTCCCTTGAGCCTTGGAGGAAGCTAAGGATTCCAGGAAGGGGAGGTGAGTAGAGCGGGCCCTCCGGGTTAGGAAGGCACTGGGCAAAGATCAAGAGGTGAGAGATGGAAGGCCAAGCTAGGGGAACGTGGAGTAGGTAGATCGTTTAGGCTGTAACATAGAGGATGTGAAGGGGAGGTATGTTAAATGGTTAGAAAGTTAGGCTGGAGAGAGGCATCATGGGACAAATGGCGTGATGGAGAGAGAAGTGGCCTGGGTTGTGAGACCCTGGGCAAGTCATCTAACCTCCCCATGCTCCAGGCAGTGCTCTGACGCTGCAAATGGCACAGAAGCGACTGGTCTGCCTGGCTGATGGAGTTCCTTCATTCCCAGGAAGGGAGGTGGGAGTGGGGAGGAGCGGAGAGAAGAAAGGGGACTGGCACCTCCCAGTGGAGGGCTTTCAATGCTGGGAGCTGATGAGGGGGTGGTTCCTTCTTTGAAGTTGTCCTCCCCCTTAAACTGAGAGCCCCTCGAGGGCAGGAACTGCCTCTCCTTCCTTCTTTTGCATTCCTATCTTTTAACCCAGGGACTGGCTGCTTTAAGACTAGCAAAGGAAAAAAATTACCTTATTCCCTTTGATTCTCACAGTCACCTCCAGAAGGGTTATTATACCATTTTACTGATGTGGAATCTGAGTCTACCCCAAGCGCCTCATCCAGGATTGTTGTGAGGGTTCAATGAGATAACATTTGTAAAGTACTTAGCACAGTGCCTGGCACATAGTACGTCCATATAAATGGTAGTAAATTGCCAGTGCTGGTGCCGCACAAAGCAGAACAAGTGTCTGGGTCAGGATTCGAACTCATGTCTTTAGGACTCCGAGTTCTGCACTAGGGCAGGCTGCCATTAAGAGCCCCTGAGTGCATTCTTCCCTCTAGCTCAGGGAGGCTTACATCTACCCTTCCAGGTAGGTGCTGCTAATGGTCTATCATCTTTATCCCTGTTTTTATGGGTGAAGAAACAGGTTCGGAGAGTTTCAGTGCCTTAACCCAGCCGGTAAATGCTAAAACTGAGATTTGTACCCACGGCTTCCTAACTCCAAGACCAGCCCTACTTCACAATTTCTATAGCACTTTGTAAAAACGACCCCCTTTCTACAACCCTGTGATGGAAGCCATGGTTATTTTAGCTGCAGTTTACAGATAAGGAAACATGCTCTTAAGCCTGACAGGGGTGGGGAACCTGCGGCCTGGAGGCCACGTGGGATCCTCTAGGTCCTTGGGTGCGGCCCCAAGGAGCTAGACGGTCACACGTGGCCTCGAGGCCGAAGGTTCCTCATCCCAGCGAGGTAGCCATTCTTTATAGGATCCATAAGCTGGTCAGTATCTGAGCTCAGGCTTCCGAATCTAACGCTTTCCACTCGGGATCATCACGGCCATGCAAAGTGTGATCTTGGGCAAGTCACCAGCTGTAAAAATCAAGCAGTAGCAATTGACTGTGATCTCTAAGGTCCCCTATAGCTCCAAGTTGATTGGTTTTGCTCCCCTCCAGCACTGGCCTGGGGCGCTGGGACGCTCAGGGGGTGGGATCAGCCTCCGGCTCCGAAGTTTGCTTTCGCTTCCCACCTGTGCGCCGGGCGGCTCTCCGGGTCCGCTCCCGGGCTGCTCCCTTCTCTCCAGGTAGTGCGGTCTGCACCTTCCCTGCACCTCCCGGGCGGCGGGGCTGGAGCGGACAGCGCCTTGGCCCCGGCCCAGAGGGGGAGGTTGCGTGCGTGTGGGCACTCGCCAGCTCGTGGGTGTCGCAATCGCGGGGCTGTAAGCCGCGAGCAGCGCCGGGACCTTTGCTCGGCGAGTTGTGTCCGGAGCGCTGTCTCCGGGGGTGGGGACAGCGGGGCCGGCTCTGAGGCTGCCGGGATCGGGCTGGGGGGACCGGGAGGGCAGCGCAGGGCAGAGGGGCACCCCTGGCCAGGGGGTGAGGACAGAGGGGGAGTAGCTCTAGGCTGCAGGGAAGTGGCCTTGGTCCCGCGAGGGGGTGAGGGAGTGAATGGGGGGATGGGGGTGGCGGCCGAGCGGGGGGGGGGGAGGGCTGGGGAGGAGTCATGGGGGGGGTGGGAGGCTGCCCCCGGGAGGCCGGATCCCGGCCGGCAGGCAGAGCCCAGCCTGGCAGCAGCGAGGGGTGTTCCAGGCAGCGCCCTCTGAGCCCCTCCCCGCCCGCAGCCTTTCCCCCACATTCACTTCCCTGGGGGGCTCTGGCTCCCTTTCCACTGCCCAGCTCCAGCTCCTGGCCGCCTCGCTGCCTCGCTAGCTCGCTCGCTCTCCTCTGGTCAGAGGGACTGCACCAACCTGCCTTCCCAGCAAGGGGGCTCCAGAGGCATTGTCCAGCAAGGGCACCAGGCCTGAGGATCTGGTGGGTCATAGGGCTGGGGGGCTGGGAGAGGGTTTCCCTTAGAAGTGGACTGGGACCCTCAGGGGGAGATGGGAGACCTGGTAGAGTTTGGTGGCAAGGATGTGTCTGGGTGGGTGCGTGGGCTGCCCTGTTGGACGCTTAGGGAAGAGGGGTCTCAGTGGGGAGGGAAGCTCTGTGCTGCCTGGCTCTGTTGAAATCCCAGGAAGATTCCTCCCAAATACTAACTAGAGAGAAAAATAGTGGGGGCGGAAATGACTGGATAGGAGATTTGGTGAATTCTCCTAAGGAAGAGGTCTGGGGGTCGTAGGTCCAGGCTCCTGTTCTGGGATGCCAGGAGGCGGCAGCAGCTGGCATGCTCACTGGAAGCCAGTTCTTGAGAGGTTAACAGAGTGCCCTGTCCCATTGGCAGAGAGTTCCATCCCTTGTCCTCATTCAGCTACGGCAGCACTCAGAGCCCTAGTCTGAAGGTTCAACCCTAGCTTCCAGGTGGGGCATTGGAGAAAAGACTAGCTGAGTAGGGGGGAAATGGGGTGGTAACATACCTAAATGCCCGCTAACCCCCAAACAGCATTGAATCTCAGAGCTGGGCCATCCTAGAGCCCTGACCCCTCTCCGTTTCAGAAAGGGGACTGGGGCTGAGTTTCTGGGGCACCTTAACCCTGTGTCCCTCCCGCAGGACAGCTCCTTGGGGATGTCCAGGACCTCAAGAGGAGATGTCCTCATGGCTGGGGCCACCTGTGCCTGATATCACTCCTGGTAAGCTTGGTTCGTTCCCCTACAGAGGACTCTTGTCCTAGACCTGTCCCTTTCCCCAGAAATAAGCTTCCTTCTTCTTCGGATCCTGTCTTCTCTCTGAAAGTCGGTCACCAAGTATTTATTAAGCACCTACTATGTGAATGGCTCTGTGTTGGGGATACAAAGAAAGGCCAAAAAACAGAAAGTCTTTGCTCTCAAAGACCTCACAGTCTGGGGAAAGAAAGGATTCTTCCTTGGATTTCTGGTCCCTCGATTTTGAGACTGGCCCTCTCTTGGCCAATGGTGTTTCCAGTCAACGTTTCTCATCTCTTGACAGTGAAGCTCATTGGAGCACAGGTTTTGTTGGAGGTTACCTAGTCTAACTCCTTCATTCGAAAATTTAAAAAAAATGTATCAAACCATCCCATTGAACAAAGAATGGAGAAGGTGGGGGTGGGGGAGGGAGAGGAGGAGCAGCTCAGCAAAACTAACTGGCACATCAACTGAATCTGTGTATGTGATGTTCCGCACCCGTAGTCCCCCACTTCTGCAGGTGCATTTTCTCGTCTTGTCTCTAGAACTGTAATCCTCCCCCTCATTGAACTGATGGAGGGTCTAAGGCTCAGGAAAATGAAGTGATTTCAGAGTCGTAGGTAGCAAATGGTAGCACTGAAACTCATGCTTGGGCCCTCCAAATCCAACTGAAGTCAATTTCCAACATACCACGTGCTAGAAAGAGCCGGCAAGTCCCCCATGCTTACCAGCTTCTGGCTTGGAGGAATCAGGGATCCTCTCTGAGACAGACTTTTATGCAGGGGGAAAGGAGAGCGTACCCATTTAACAGACTAGGAAACTGAGGTAGCTGACCCAGAAGGGAGGGACTGGTCTCCGGACCCACATCAACCCTGGTGGCCAGACTGATGCTCTGCTGCCCTCTAGGGGTAGAAACAAGATGGCCATTTCCCAAAGCACTCGGGCTGAGTTGGGGCTGACTCTTTCTCTCTTCAGAATCGGTTGTGGAGCTGTGGAAGGCTGAAGCCCAGGATGCTAAGCAGCTATGGAAGGCTGAGACTCAAGATGTGGTGGACAGCCTGGGAAAGGCTGGTAGCAACTTCATCCTTGGGGAGGAAGCCAGGACTTCCCATCCCAGTAAGGGAGGCTCAGAGGCTCAGTTTGCAGGACCAGCATCTGTCCTATTCCCCTGCTCAGAGGTTCATGCAGAGTCTGCAGGTGAGGGGTGCTTGGACTGGGGAGAGCATGTGGGGGGGGTCCTAACCAAGCCCTCGTGTTGGTGCCCACTAACGGGCATAAGGGGCAGGTAGTTTGGGAGGGGGTAGGATTGGTAAATACAGATGTCCAGGACAGCAGGACCAGTGAGAGGACCACTAGTTCTGAAGAACCGTCACCCTAATTTGGAGGGTAGGGGCTTGAGTTCAGATCCTATACCTGCTTACTAAGTGGCCTTGGGACAGTCGCTTCCTCTTTGGGCTCCACTGGTAAAACAAGGGTATGCCCCAGTTTTAAACTCTATGATCAGATGCTTTACATCAGCAAGCATCTGTCATTCACCTCCTTTGTGTCTGGCCCTTTCCTAAGAACAAATACAAAAATGAGACAGTCCCTGCCCTCCAAGAGCTTAGAGCCTACTGGGGTGTTACAACATGGTCACAGATAAATACAGACAGGATATGTATGAGACACATACGCAGTGCTGGTGGAGGGAGAACTAACATCTGAGTTAATCCAGAAAGGCCTTCAGAAGGAGTCGGGCATTGAACCGGGTTACGCTTGTCAATGGTGGACATTCGTGTAGCGCCTGCTCCCTGCCCAGCAGGGGGCACAAGTGAGCATTCTTGGCCTGGGGAGGAGTCCGGTCAAAGGTACAGTGAGGGAGCAAGTGTTGGGGGAGGGAATGTTGATGTGGGGGAAAGCCAAGTGCGCTGGTTTGCCCAGAAGGGAAGGTGAGTGGTTGAAAGTAGCTGCAGCTGTAAGGTTTTCAGTGCCAAGCCCAGGAGTTTATGTCTCATCTCCCCGGCCATTACACAAGCATTTGTTAAAATTGTGTGTCAGGCACCGCCTTTATCTCCAGTAATATGAAGACAAAACCCAAAACAGTTTCTGCCCTCAAGGAGCACATCCATTATTGGAGGATTTCTCAGTTCTCTTCTCAAGGTGTTTGGGAGTTTCTTGAGCAGGGGAGGGCCGCGGTGAAGACCTGCAAATAAGGATCATCAGTTTGGTAACTGGGTGCAGGATAGGTAGGAGAGAGGAAAGGCTGAGGGCACAGAGACCAGTCAAGAGGTTATTCCAATAGTCCGGGCTAGAGGGGTGAGGGTCTGACCTCGCTTAGCCATGGTAGGAGTAGAGAAAAGGAGAGGTGGCTGTGAGAGACGCCGAGGCAAGACTCGGCGATGGGGAAGGGGAGTGAAGGAAAAGCATGGACAATGACTCCTAGAGTGTGACTGTAGTGCCTCAACAGAAGAGGACAGTCAGAGAGAAATGTATTGGAGGGAAAAGATAATGAGTTTTGTTTTGAAGTGTTTCAGTAGTTAGGAAGACAACCATGGCCAGGATCACACAAATCCAGGGAGGAGAGTGTACTTAGAAGCGTTGTTGAGTGCTGCAGAAAGGTCAAGGAGGATGAGAACTGAGACAAGGTCACTGGACTCAGGAACTGAGAGACCACTGGTGGCCTTGGAGTGGGGAGAACAGAAGCCAGAGAGAAAGGGCTGGGACTATGTAATATACTTCCTTCCTGGTAGAGAGATGGGGGACTGTGGATGTGGATTTTCCATACGTTCTCAGATTTGCATACTTTGTTGATTTGTTTTTCCTTAACTGTTTTTCTTTACCCATCTTTGGATATTAGGAAATAAATGATGTTAAGAAAAGGGGGAGCGATAGCATGGCCTGGGCATTAGGAAGCCCTGGGTTCCAGTCCTAGATCAGACACACAATCGCGGGCAAGCCTTCCCAGCTAGAATGTGAGCTCTGTGAACGCAAGGTGCTTCCTTTATATCGTCGTACCCCAGTGAGTAGAGGCAGCGTACATGCATAGCCAGTGTGATGCTGGGCAAGGCCTTTACCTCCTGGTGCCCCCAGGCAACTTCCTAAAACTATTAAGTTGCGGAAAGTGTGCCCATTGGTAGAGAAAATGTCACCCGGGCTCCTGGTGCCAGTGAGATCGCAGGCCCAGTCCCTAGCCTTCTACCTCAGCACATAGTAGGTGTCTAATAAATGCTAATAATTGACTCAACCTTCTTGTGCCCCAGACATCTCTCTAAGACTATAATAGATCCATCAATCAAATGCAGCCACGCTGAGGTGGTTGGTGAGAGGTTCACCTGCATAAATGAAATCCCAAGTCTGGACCAAAACCACAAATGCATCCAAATTGTAAAATAAAAATTCTGTGTTCCTACAGAGCAGCGGCCACTAAAGAGGAAAAAGGGGCCGGCTCCCAAGATGCTGGGGAACGAGGTCTGCAGCGTGTGTGGGGACAAGGCTTCAGGCTTCCACTACAATGTCCTGAGCTGCGAGGGATGCAAGGGATTCTTCCGCCGGAGCGTGATCAAGGGCGCCCGCTACACCTGCCACAGTGGTGGCCAGTGCCCCATGGACACCTACATGCGTAGGAAGTGCCAGGAGTGTCGCCTGCGGAAGTGCCGCCAGGCAGGCATGCGGGAGCAGTGTAAGGGCTCCCTCGTGTCATGTGCTCAGGGACCCGGGAAGGCTTGGGGCAGCCGGGCCAGCTGGGCACGCGGGGGCGGCATAAGGGACCCTGGGAAGGATGGGGGCGGGCGGGCCAGGGCACGCAGGGCCAGCCTGGGGCACGCTCTGGTTTCCTTCCAAGCACAGCCATTCCTGACCCCCCACCCCCACCCCCAGTTCTTCATGTCCTCTCCTTCTGGAACCTTTTTGGAGGGTCTAAGCATCTCCTCCCCCTCTGGTTGCATTCCTCGTGTAGATGACAAACTCCCGGGGGGGGGCAGGATGTGTTGTTCTTTCCTGCTGCTCCGTCCTCAGTGCCCTGCTTCTCCTTCCCCATCCTCACCCCGTCTTCCCCACCCCTGGCCTCGCCTCACCTCCAGCCATGCCCCTAGGTGTCCTGTCGGAGGAGCAGATCCGTCTGAAGAAGCTGAAGCGTCAGGAGGAGGAGCAAGGCCAGGCATCGTCGTCGCTGACCCTGCAGGCCCCCTCGCCGCCCCCGGCCCTGCCTCAGCTCAGCGTGGAGCAGCGGGGCATGATTGAGAAGCTGGTGGCTGCCCAGCAGCAGTGTAACCAGCGCTCCTTCTCTGACCGCCTCCGGGTCACGGTACCCTTGGCACAAGGATGGAGGGTCTGGGGGGGGCGGGGTCCATGGCCTCTGGCCCCTATCTCAAAGTGCCCTTCCTGCTCCTGCTCCCTCCACACAGCCCTGGCCTCTGGCCCCAGACCCCCAGAGCCGCGAGGCCAGGCAGCAGCGCTTCGCCCACTTCACGGAGCTCGCCATCGTCTCTGTGCAGGAGATTGTGGACTTTGCCAAACAGCTGCCCGGCTTCCTGCAGCTCAGCAGGGAGGACCAGATCGCCCTGCTCAAGACGTCGACCATTGAGGTGGCTCCACATGTCTGCCTCCGGGGAGGCCGGTCCATGGGGGTGGAGGGGTTGGAGATGGTCAGCAAGCACCCATTGAGCATCTACTGTGTGCCAGGCCCTCTGCTAAGGATATGGAGAAAGGCCAAAGTACTATTCCTGTCCTCCATGAGCTCCCATTTGAATGGGGATGAGATGTCTACAGGGAAAGGGGGAGGTCGTCTCAGAGCGAGGGCATTAGCGGGGGAGAGGAAGGCCTCCTGCACCTGGGGCAATTGGCGAGGAGTCTGGAAGGTAGCCGGGAGGCAGAGGGGGAGGGCGATCCAGAAATGGAGGGTCCCCTCCACAGGGGAGGTGGAAGGAGGCCAGGGATCAGGACGCCCTGGCCTGTGCTCCACAGGTAATGCTCCTCGAGACGTCCCGGAGGTATAACCCTGGCAGTGAGAGCATCACCTTCCTCAAGGATTTTAGCTACAACCGCGATGACTTTGCCAAGGCAGGTAAGGACCCGTGGGCTGGGGTGGGTTGGGTTTGGGCAGAGCCAGGAGGCCTGGAGGTGTCTCCTTTGTTTGGCAGATCCAGACAGACAAGGGAGGCCTCGAAGGGCGACAGAAAAAGCACTAAGCTGAGACTCTTGTGCCCGAGTTCAAATTCCACCACTGCCCTGTAGCACCTGTGTGATGTCTCTGGGCTCCATTTTCTCTTCTGAGGAAGTCAGACTAAATCTCCCAGCTGTAGATCTCTGGTCTTGTGATGTGGGGTGGGGTGGAGGAGAAGGGAGGGCAGAAGAATGGAGAGTGCCCTCCCAGCCAGGAGACTGCAAGGCTGATCTGGAGTTGGGTCAGGCCTTTGAGTCCTGCATGCACGATGGGCGAGGCCTCCTCCTGGCTGTAAGTAATTCCTTCCCCTTCGTCTCCATTAGGCCTTCCAATTATTCAGCCCAATCTCATCTAACAAATGTTATTAACAATGACTGGGGCGGCTGGGTGGTGAGGTAGACGGAGCACCATCATTGAAGTCAGGGGGACCTGAGTCCAAATTCTGCCTCATACATACTAGCTGTGTGACACTGGGCCAGACACATAATGTAGATTAATCCTCTACTATCCTACATCTCAACCTCTTCTCCCAATTTCTCCCTAAATATTTTAAAATTGTATCAATTAAAGGGCAGTGAGGTGGCACAGTGGATAGAGCACTGGCTCTGGAATCAGGAGGATCTGAGTTCAAATCTGGCCTCTGACATGTATTAGCTGTGTGACCCTGGGCAAGTCACTTAACCACTCTTTATCTCTCCCTCCCCACAGATTAATTGATATCATTTGGTTTTATATCATCCTTTCCAAGGATCCTTCCCCTCTGCTCTATCCCTCAAATCATCCTTCGGAACAAAGCATTACAAAAGACCATGAGAAACAAAAGCAATTCAACAAAATTTACCAACATACCAGACATTTCTGACAGTGTATGCAATGCTCCACACCCTGAGGCCCCCACCTCTGCAGATGAGGAGGGAGTCACCCTGACCTTTAAAAAAATTTTTTTTAAGTCTCCTTTCTCTGGCTAAACTTTCCCATGTTGTTCTCAACAACTCCCCATCTTGGTGTCAGGGGACTAACTGGCTTAGAGGATAAGGACCATTTTAGGGTGGAGGATTAGAAGCCTGAAAGATTTTCTCCAAGAATTAACTCCTATTGACAGTTTCCAATAATGTTGAAACAGAGGTGACCCAGAGCTGTGTTGGAAAGAAATTCTTCTAATATTCCATCATCACCTTCATCCTCCTCATTATTATTTTATTGTATTTTTTGGTGATTTCATCAGTGTGGGAAATGCCCTCCACTAAATCAATTGGCTTTAATCTGTAGCTTAGAGAGTTTCCCAGAGCCCTGAGAAGTAAGTGACTTGTCCAGGGTCACACAGCTCATATGTAACTCATGTCTTGTGATGCCAAGGCCAGCCTGCTTTTCATTACACTAGGCTGCCTGTCATTATGTTATCATGAAACACATAATAATATCTAGCATGTTTAAGGTTTACAAAATGCTTTTCTTACAACAACTCTGTAAGGCAGGGAGAGCAGGAATTATCGTTCCCATTTTACAGGTGAAGAAAATGAGTCTCAATGCAGTGAAATGATTTGCCCAAAGTAACCCAGCCTGTGAGGGGCAAAGTTTGAACTCAGGTCTTCCTGATCCCAAGCCACTAGCCACGCTATCTACTAGGCCACTTAGGTGGTAAGTGGAAGAACTGGGATTTGAACCCAGGTCCCTCCAGATGCCAGGTCAATGCTTGTTGCACTCCAGATGGCTTCACTCTTATGAGGAATAGCCCAAGGGGGCCATAATGTGCGTGTTATAGAAAGGGAGCCCTGGGTTCACAGACTCTCTGGGTGACGTCTTGGGACATCACAGGATCCTAGATCTGGAGATAAAAGAGGTCTCAGAGGGCATCTCATCTTACTTTTATCTCCCTCAGTTTCTGTGTCTGCAAAACGGGCTGGATGCTTTTAACCTCCTCCTGGGGCTAGGGCCATTAGGTAGTGATTTGGACCCAAAGATGAAGGCAGTTCTGTCCCTTGACCATGCCTGTCACTTACTGGGTTTCTCCATCTCCTAGACCGTTGATAAAAATCAGGGTGAAAGTACAGGAAATGACTAATCTGCAAGCCTGGAGTAGCAAAAAGAAAAGTAGATGGCTTCTGAGTTTGATGGAGTGTGGCTGACCAGCAGAACAGGGCAGGGGAATTCTGGCTGTTTAGATGGGGAACAGCTCTCCTAGAGGTTGGACAGTAGGGGACAGGGTCGCTGAAAGCTCAGCAGGCCCATTGGCATCTACAGTAAATGCCAATGCCCCTGAGAGCGCTGGTTCTGGGGCAAGGGGCCCTGGCAATGACTGTGAATCTGTGATCCCCCTCCTTGGGTCTCAGCTTTCTCATCTGTATTATCAGGAGGAGTTTAGACAGTCAGGAATCCAGCTCTCCATCCAGGACCCCAGGCCAGGAGTCCTGGGGATGTGTCAGAGGGGCCTCATGAGCTTCCCTAATGGGGCTGGGGGGCTGCCCTGCTGGGCCAGCTTTAACCCTGTCCTGTGGCCCCACTCCCCAGGGCTGCAGGTGGAGTTCATCAACCCCATCTTTGAATTCTCCCGCGCCATGAACGAGCTTCAGCTCAATGACGCTGAGTTTGCTCTGCTCATCGCCATCAGCATCTTTTCTGCAGGTGTGTATCAGAGCCAGGAGGTGGGGGGGGGCGCCGTGTCCTGAAGGACTCCGAGGGCTCAGGGCTGACCTGGAGGGTGTGTCTGGCGAGGATGGAGGAATTGCCCAATCTTCTGGGTGCACCTGGGCCCTTCCTCACCCCTCCTCCTTGTCTCTGAGGGTGCCCCACAGACAGGCCCAACGTACAGGACCAGCTTCAGGTGGAGAGGCTGCAGCATACCTATGTGGAGGCCCTGCACGCCTATGTCTCTATCCACCACCCAAATGTGAGTGTTTCTCATGGCATTCCAGCCCTCCTATTGAATCCTGAGTTCATGGTGTAGAAAGCCAGCAGAGCGAAATGGCAAGAGTGTGGGACGTGGAATGAGGAGGACCTGGGTTCTAGTCTCACGTCGGACATTTACTAGCTGTTTGACCCTAAGCAAGTCACTTAACTACTCTAAGACTTGGTTTCTCTATCTATAAAATGGGGATAATAGTAGCAAATACCTCACAGGGTTGGTATGAAAAGCAAATGAAATGATAGATAAACAAAAAGATACAGCATTTACTAAGAGCATGCTAGGTATCAGGCACTGTGCTAAGCACTAGGGGTACAAGTGTAAGCCAATCAAACAGTCCCTGCTCTCAGGAAGCTTCCATTCTAATAGGGGAAGAAAATGCAGGCAGAGAAAACTGGAAATAGGGGTGGGGAGGAGGCGGAGAGGGGCCAGGCATGAGGGAGGGAATCACCAGTCAGGAGAGAAGGGCCCTGGGGAGAAGGAAATGATGTCTGTCAAACACTGCAGACTTCAAGAAGGCACTAGGAAACACTCACTGCTGTTGATGAGAACCACGGTGGTTATTTCCTCAGTCTTTCCCATCTTCTTTTGGAGCAGCTCTGGCTGGCCACAGAATCCCCAGATGTTTCCTACTTCTCCCACAACTTCCCCTTACCCTGCAGTATCGTCAGCAGGGGAAGAAACTGAGGCCTCTCTTCTTCTGTCCCCTCCTAGGACCCCTTAATGTTTCCACGGATGCTAATGAAGCTGGTGAGCCTCCGCACCCTGAGCAGTGTCCACTCAGAGCAAGTGTTCGCCCTCCGCCTGCAGGATAAAAAGCTCCCGCCCCTACTGTCGGAGATCTGGGACATGCAGGAATGATCCTCTTCCGTGTCCTAGCCTCATGTGCACTGGGGTGAAGGATGGGCCAGTGTGTGGATATGGGGAGAGAGCTGGTGAATGAGGAGGGGAAGACATCTCTTTGGGCTAGACTGGGGTGGAGATCCTAAGTGGGGCATTAAAAGAGAGTTGAAGGGTTGGGAGTTCTCTGGCTATTAGGGAAAGTGGGGACACGGTCTAGGCAGAGAGGAATGACCAGCTTGGGATGCCTGTTTTGCACAAGGCTCTCTAAGCCCACTGCCATTGCTTCCTGCCTTCTTCACATCCGTTGGTCAAATGACATGTCATCCCTCTGTGCCTGGCTGAGAAGACACCCTGGGCATGACGTGTACCATCTCACAGCCTGACCACTGGGGCATCCTTTGACCAGAATGTAAAATGGAGACTAAAGTGTCTGAGTTTCTAAGGAAGGGAAGGAGACCTGTGGAAGTGGAAATTCTTGGAGGTCAAACCAAGGACAAAACCTCTGCTCTGGAGCCATCCTCTCCCCTTTCATCCCAGATGATAGTTTGTTTATAAGATGTGTGTGTGTGTGTGTGTGTGTGTGTGTGTGTGTGTGATCTCATTTGAGCTCTGCACCTATCCTGGGCTCTCTTCAGGGGCAGCCAGACACCGGGGGACCTTGGTCATCCCCTGTTTGTCTGAATTATCTGGATCCTATCCAGAATGATCAGGATCCCATGTCCAGCTGTCTGATCCTTAAGAAGATCAGGGTTCTACTCAATGAAGGGAGGTGGATCTGTGCCCCTCTCTATCACAGTAATAAGAGTCCCAAGAAGGCTGATAAGATTTTTTTTTAAGAGTCAAAAATATCTTAAGCTTTGAGCTAGAAGAGACCTTTAGAGATCATCCAGGCCAAGACCCTCATTTTGCAGATGAGGAAGCTGAAGCTAGGAGGCGGGCAATGACTGGCCCAAGGTCCCCTTAAGCAGCAGAGCTGGGATTCGAACCCAAGGACACAAGAATCCTTCGAGTCCTTTTGCCCTAGCCATGAGTCACCGCCACGCCCACTCCGCCAGGGGTCCCACTTCGTCCCAGCCGGACTTCATATCCCGTCATGCATCGCGGGGCGCTCCCTGCCCCTCCCTACCTCGGTGCGCGCCCTGTTCAGGAGGTGCCAGCTTGCGGCAGTCCTTCCCTGCATCCCTCCCCCACCTCTTGCAGCAGGAGTAGTGTGTTCCACCCCCCCCACAAAACCCCTCCCTTTTCTGGAGCTGCAGCACCTGGGCATTTCCCAAACCGTGAAGGGGGTAGGGGTAGGAGGTGGGGACGGCAGTGAGGAACACCGGCCGGCGCGCAGCCACTCGTTCTCAGAAGCAGCTTCCAAGGTATATCAACGGTTCGTCCCCAAAATGGACGATGTCAGCATCTATAATTAAAAGAGATTTGCACAGTAAAAATATACGGCGACGAGTCCTCCCCTCCCCAGCCGGCCCAATGGTGTGTGCCCCAGGGAGGCGAGCCAATAGCCACCCCTAACCTTCGGTGCCAGTAGTACGGTCCGCCCCGCCCGCCCCCTCCTGCCCTCCCGCAATGGTACATCCCCCCCTCCCCACTCCAGTACAGATGCGGAACTGGTGCGAGGCGCGGAACGCAGGGAGTCTGCGCTGCAGGCCTCCGCGCGCCCCCGGCCCCGCCCCGCGTCGTGCAGCCCCGCCCCCCGGCCCAGGTGAGGAGACGAGCTGAGGCCTCTGGCCTCGCACCGATCCGAGCCCGGATCCCGGATCCCCGAGCCCGAGCCCCGGGAGGGCAGGGAGGGACAAGACTGAGGTTCGAGGGAGCCCGCGGCGGACGGAACGTCAGAAGGGGAGGGGGCGGTCAGGAACGATGGGGGCTCTGAGGGGGAAGGAGGGGTCTCGGGATGGGGGCTCTGAGGGGATGGAGAGGTCTAGGGGGACGGGGGAGAAGGAAAAATGAGAGCGGGGCTGTCAGGAAGCATGAGGGGATGGGGGCTCCAAGGGGGAAGGAAAGGTCTTGGGGTGGAGGCTGTCAGGAAGGCTTAGAGGAGGGGGGCTTTATGAGGAAGGGGTCTTGGGGTCAGGGTTCTGAAGAGGATGGAGAGGTCTGGGGGATGGGGGATGGGCTACAGGAAGGATTAGAGGAGGGGGGCTTTATGAGGAAGGGGTCTTGGGGTCAGGGTTCTGAAGAGGAGGGAGAGGTTGGGGAATGGGCTGCCAGGAAGGCTTAGAGGAGGGGGGCTTTATGAGGAAGGGGTCTTGGTCTGGGGGCTCTGAAGAGGAGGGAGAGGTCTGGGGGATGGGCTGCCAGGAAGGCTTAGAGGAGGGGGGCTTTATGAGGAAGGGGTCTTGGGGTCAGGGTTCTGAAGAGGAGGGAGAGGTCTGGGGGATGGGCTGCCAGGAAGGCTTAGAGGAGGGGGGCTTTATGAGGAAGGGGTCTTGGTCTGGGGGCTCTGAAGAGGAGAGAGAGGTTTGGGGATGGGGGTGAGGGCTCTGGGGATAGAGGCTGTCAGGAATTAGGAAGTGGGAATTGTGAGAAGTAGGGGATGGACGGGTTATCACGATTGGGAATTGGGGGCTTTCAGGGAAGATTCGAGAATGGGGGCCCAAAGGGGGTTGGTCCTTGTTAGAACTGGGGGAGAGAGGCTCTGAGCACAGGGAACTCTGAGGAAGGACTGTGGACTGGGGATTTTGAGGTGGTGGGGACTCAGGAGAGGACAGTAAGGGCTTTCAGAACTGAGGGAGCTTAGCCCAGTACCTGGCACATAGTAATAATAAATATTATTTAGTAATATAATTTAGTATATTTATGTTATAATTTAGTAATATTTATAATTTAGTAATACATAGTAATAATAAATAATAAATGGTTGATTTATTGCATAGGAGGATAGGGTTCTGAGGAATGATGGAGGTTGGGGCTTCTGAATGAAGATTGAGAGGAAGGGGGTTTCTGATGGGGTGGGGGGTTCTCAAGGAGGACTGGGGGGTTGGGGACTCTGTAGGATCATGAGGCTGGGGTGGGGAGATGGGGGCCCTTCAGGAGGCTGGTTGGCTCTTGGAGGATTGAGTGGACTGAGGACTCAGAATGAGGGTGAAGGATGCTGAGGGAAAATTAGGGGAAATGGGGACTAACAGTATTCCAGAGCAAAAGGAATTGGGCCCCTGAGAGGAAAGAAGATTGAGGAGCTCCAGGCTCAAGTATTTGCTCTCTGATTCTGCCTGAAGAGTATGTGGTGCTGCCAGCTTGGAGGAGGCCTGTGCTCCTGGGGAGAGGGGAGGAGGAGAACTGTCCAGCAGGCGTGGGAGTGGGAAGATCTGTCTAGCTAGCTCTGGGCTACTCAGCTGAGACAGCTTCTGGCTTCTTGTCTTTTTTATCTTTGGGTGTTACTGAGTGTTTTCTGGAGAGAACCGGTGCTCACAGAACTGCTTTCTCTCCTTATGACCAATTTCCCTCAGTGCATCTTTTGATTTCTCTCTTCTTTCGCTACCAGCCTCCCCTGCCCACTTCCTTTTCCTATTTTCCTCTCGTCTGCAAACTCCCCCCTTCTCCCCACTGCTCCCCTACACACTGGACCAGGCTTGGCTGATGCGATTGCAAGGTCATCGAGTGGGGGAGGAGAGCCTCCCATCATGCTCACGTCAGCAGAGATGTCACATCTCCCACTAGCCCCTGTGGTTTTTATTGTCAGATAAAACCCCAGTGAAGCAGCGTGTCCATTGAGGGCTGAAGTGACATAACTAATTTAAAGGCTTCTTGATTCTAAATGTGTATTTAAGCGGCTTGCTTGGTGATTCAGGACCTCTGGTGTCGTGAGTGTCCCTAGAGCCTCTGATCTTTCTGAAGGGGATGGAAGCAGGAACCAGGGGCTTTTGAGATTAGTAGATGTGGTTGAAACAAGGGAAGACTCTGAGTGTGAAGTTTGTAATAAGAAATTGTGTGGGTTAGAGGCATTACTCATGGGGTTGGACTCTCAGGGGAGTAGTCCTAGCAAAGACCTGACCGTCTCTCTCACCCATTTTAACCAAAGCTAGTGACTGCTAGTAGAATTTGAATTGTGAGATGGGATCTGGCCCCAAGGCTCCCATGTTGGTCAGCTCTTAGTTTAGGCCACAAAAAGATACTTCCAGAGTAATTGTTATTGTTCTTAGTAATCTCGGCAGATTGAGGGGTAGCCATGACTAATATCTAACTGTTATGAAATGGCTCCTCATGAGAAGGAAGGGTCCACTATGGACAGGCCTGTCGCCCAGTGAACTGGTAGAAGAAGCAACGAGTGAGATCTCTGAGATTTCCCCAAGGGGCAGCTTGTTGAGTGAGACTCCACGTAAACAGGTTTCGTGGCTCAGCTTTGAGCTCTGGTCCGGCAGATTTGCTTGTGCTCTAAATGTTCATTTTATCCTCTTTCTTCCAAGGCATTTTTTGGCCTTCATAATTTTTCAAAGAAGGGATTTTTTTTTTACCACCTCTTCCAGCCTGTTTCTTTCTTCCTTTCTTCTCTGTACAGCTCCCCAGTTGGGCTTGCTGATCTGAGTTCAGTTCTGTAGTGTTACCCTACCCTCTGCTGTATACTGATGCCTGTATTAAGAGGTGAGGGAACAAAGGGGCTGACTGAATCGATAGCCAGGTTGCTGATGGCCCAAGGGAAGCATATGGAGCAGTCACTGCCTTGGTTTTGATTATGCAGTGGAGAGGAATTGATGATAAGATCCAGACTGAGTGAATGTGGATGCTGAAGATGGGTCAAAGGACAGGGTAGCTATGAGTGTTGTAATAAGGAGAAGAGAGAAGCTCGTAGATCTAGGGAGGATGTATGATCATGGGCTCTGGGCCACTCCAGCTCAGCTCTCACATTTAGTCACCAAGGAGGGGAGGGCCTTTAACTGCACTATAAATAGTGCTGAGAGCTAGAGTTGCTATGGAGATAGAACTGAATCCTATTACCTGTAGGTCCTACTATCGTGTGTTTATTGGGGGATAAGAGGAATGCCAGACGAAGCCTATGGGTAGGGTGCATGAGGAGGATAGGCTAAGTCATGTACGTTATTTTGTAGGGGAGAACTGGGTGTTGACTGTACCAACAAGGCCCTAAGCATATAGTAAGTTTACATGTCCATCAGTCTGTGTGCATATATGCAAGCAGTGGGGTGTGTGTGTGTGTGTGTGTGTGTGTTGTGTATAGGTATAATAAATAGGGCTCTCCCTGATGTGTGTATTTAGTGTGGGCACATGTAGAACTCTGGCACATTGTAAACCAGCCCTGGAAGGGATTATGGAGAGAGATGAAGTAGTTGGTTGGCATTATTCTCATTTAAGACTTCTTAAGCTTTTCCTAATTTTGGACATATAGCTTAGTAATTCACCGAGCCTCCCTTCCTTTCCCCACTTCCCACTCCCCACTTCTAGGGGATAGCAGGTATGCCACTGAGTATTCCTTCTTTCATTTCCTGATGTTGACAACATATAGTAGGGGGGAAAGATCCCATGATCTCCTTTGCTCTCTCCTATTCTTGACTTTAATACTGGGTTCACTGGAGAAAATTCAGCACCAAGGGCAGAACTC